TTGATGTCTAGCTTTAACAAGCTCAAGCGAAAACAAATGTGCTGCGTCCTTTCCACACTTTGTTTTTCGCATATTTTACGTTTGGCTTGTACTTAGTCTGTACGTCTGGGTTCTACTCTTTGTAAGTTAGCGTCGAAATTCAAGTAGTGACCACTGTAAAACATCACCCGACTACTGCCACTATCTTAAGCTAGAGGAGAGTAAAGTAGAGTTGCAGCTGAACACAGGAAAAATTATCACAAAATTATCAGCAAAAAAAATTTCATACATACGTGAAAAAATTCGACACGGTTTTGCAAATAAATTTGGAAAATTCAGTGTTACCTCAAATTTGTTTCTGTGAGGAGTACATTTCGAGCCGCAACATCTCCATGACTTGCTTCATTGCCTGCCGCATCTCGACTTTCGTGCAGAAATTTGAGGGCGTCACCCACCTGACGCAAAATGCTGATAACGTCTCGTACATACACCAATGGTGGATTTTCTTTTTTCTATAAAAATGTAACTTTTCAATAAGTTTCATCTTTATATTCTGAATTAATTTGTTAAAATTTTATCTGAAAGAATTGTTAATCTCCGTTTACACAATGTGGAAGAGAACCACGCTGTAGTTTCGCTCTAATTCAACCCAATTTATAATGCACCAGACCTGCCGTGCGATTGTGCTTTTTTGCACTGATACAGCAGTCAAATCGATAACAGCATGAATGCTTCCCGCTTAACTCATGTTGGCTCTGTTTTGGCATTCCCTTGCATGAAAGGGGGGAAGTCGTTTTAAGATGGTAGTTTTGCATCATGGGGTCGAGTTCAACTTCAAGCACGTATGATTAACAATTTTGCATAATGTTTCAAGGAGACCCAGTTTCAAAGAGAACTAAGTGATTAACATATCCTATTTCGATGACGAATCTGCCTGTATGTGTGCTGGCACGTTGAAACACGTGCACACTGAAAGAAAAAATTGGCCAACGCACGGGCTGCCCGTGCGAAAATGTGTTTCTTGCATGGTTCCCCGCAGTTTCTGTTGTTACCGGCATCGGTTTTTTCGGCAAATGCTTCTAGCTAAACAAATTAAGACTGGCCACCAGAACTGT